CTTTTAGGGTTTAGGGTTTAGGGTTTAGGGTTTAGGGTTTAGGGTTTAGGGTTTAGGGTTTAGGGTTTAGGCTCATGAAAAACCCTAAACCTTCACTCTCGACCCTGGAAAACTCTAGCAAGAAGAGCCCAAGAAAACCATAAAGCTCAAAAACCCTGAACTCTAAACCCCCATGCTGCCTTAGGACCCCATGAGCAAGTTAAAGGGACCCGGTACAGGAGAGACTCTTCTTCTTGTTATGTTGTTAAAAACTGTCATATTATAATCAAATGTGTTCGTTCCGATTATTCTGATTATGGGTTGAGGGTTTAGGGTATAGGGGTTCGGCTTGTTTTTTGGTTATAAGGCTTGTTCTTTGTTATAAGTTTTATTTTGGTGTTCTAGGGTAGTAGGATTGATAATCCCGTCTGAGAGTCCGTCCGGTAGACTTGCCAGGTTGACTCCCCGCGGGCTGCCGAACAAAGGCCTGACTGCTTTGTCCTCTCCCTCTCGCCCTCCTTTTACCTGCCTTCACTCCCTCACTCCCTCTCCGCCTCTCTCGCTCTCTCCTTTTCTCTCCCTCACTCTCCCTCTCTCTCTCTCACGCGCTCTCTCTCTCTCTCTCTCTCTCTCTCTCTATCTACTGTATTTTCGAGTACGACCCTTTTTGGACTTGTTGAGCAACGCGGCTTGGGAATCATCCGTCCATTTGCAGGAGCTTGGGCACCGTTTTTTGTCGTCTCAATCACTCCTTGGAGCCAGGTAGGCTCTGAAACGGGCAAGAAGGGTAGTCCTTCAGAGTGCGAAGGATAATTGAATAATATTGAACCTGAGAAGTTCCCTCTGGGTTCAAAACTGCAGTTTCTGGCAGGGTTCAGGGTTTTAGGGTATAGGGCTCAGGGTTTATAGGGTTTAGGGTTTAGTTTTAGGGCTTAGGGTTTAGATTTAGTGCAGGTAAGTCCGTCGTCGAGGCCTTACTACCGTGAAGGAGATGACGAGCTCCTGAAGGCCAATTTGATGTGCGACATTCGGATCATGTGAGGCTCCGTGAACTGTGGGGTTTAGGGTTTACTGTTTAGGGTTTAGGGTTGGGGTTTAGGGTTTAGGGTTTAGGGTTTAGGGTTGGGGTGTAGGGTTTGTGGTTCAGGGTTTAGGGTTCAGGGTTTGGGGTTTAGGGTTTAGGGTTTACAGCTTGGGCTTTGCAGCCTGAAGGTGGCTCAAACAGGAGTAGTCCAACTCATGCAGGGATCTGTTTGCACGCGATAAAGTACGGAAGCATGATCAGTTCTTCTTTTAGGGTTTAGGGTTTAGGGTTTCGGGCTTGGGGTTTTTCCTGAAGCAGGCCGCGAGGTTCATGCAGCAGGTGCCGTCCCTGGAGCTTCTTCTTAGGGCACATAGGTCCGAAGCCCGCAGATCAAAGCAACCACTGCAAGGTATTGCTACTTCTGAGCCTTCAGTATTTAGGAAACGGCAATGCCGCAATGACAGGACGGCTCCAAAACTATCCTTGTCGATGATGTGGCTTTTGGCTACGAGCTGCCCTGCGCCTAGCAGGGGATTCATGTCCTGCGATCAAGGTAGATGAGAGTATACCTACCGTAGATGTGACATGTTATAGTGCATTGAAGTTTGTTATTGTCACAAGTTGTAGCATAGCGTAATCGTACTTGCAGTTTATTGAAGTATATGCGCTGTCTCTGATAGACATGTCTTGCCGGGTTTGGGGTCTAGAGCTTTTCGGTGACTCGAATCCCCTTTTCCTAGTGCTACCCCTCCCCCCCCCCCCGCTTCCCCCTCACCCCATGCTAATAGATATTCCGATGCTGGGAGGTAGAGCACTTTGGGACTTAATAGGGGGCGGAGGGGATGAAACCGATGAAGCCTAAAGTGGCATTCCTGCCGTTCGGTTTCTTGGGACATTGTTTGCCGGGCCGATGTAGGAGCTAGGCTTTGGGTGTGTGCTTAAGGCCGCAGTTCTGAGGTAGCAAGCCTCGCAGCTTCAGAGCACATCCCCCGGTGGATGGGAGTGCTCGTGCCAGGTTCCAGACAAAATGCAACGTGGAACATGTCCAAATATAGCACTCTGCGTCCTCAACAGCGTCTTGGATTTCTGCACCAGTCGGCCCCCAGAACGTCTGAGCTTCAGAGACCGACCTGCCTCTGCAAGCCCGGACTTTTATCAACCCCGTAAGCTCTAAAAACTCTACAAACCCGACATAAATTTAAATAAACCCTGCATAAGCCCCCAAAAAACATCAACCCCTAAAAACTTAGCCTATGAACCCTAAAAACCCTAAACCCTCAACCCTACACAAGATGCATCTCCGCTCCCAACCAGGCGGGTCGGACCTCACTGTAGCGTTTGGGGTGTGCGCTGAGCAAGAAAGCCCCAGAAGCCTTACCCAAACCTTAGTAGTAGAGTAGGTAACCTTTAACCTTTTTGGGTTAATATATTCCCCTTATAATCCCAAAGGTTAACCTTTAAAACCCCTAGGTACTGGACAGCTAAGAAACCCCCAAAGTAAGTAAAATCATGGCCTGCTTCTGGGTTTTTTGGGCCTCTGTATTTGACCGCACTTGTGAGGTCCAGGTAAACCCTAAACCGTAACTTACCCCCGTAAACCCTGAACCCTAAGCCTAAACCCTAAACCCTAAACCCTAAACCCTAAACCCTAAACCCTAAACCCTATTCCCTGAACCCTGAACCCTAAGCCTAAACCCTAAATCCTAAACGAAGCACGTGATAGCCGAAACCAACCCGCAGAGGTTGGTGAACCAGCGGGGCCTGGGGGCTCGCCTCTTTGGGGTCCGCGCCTCCCAGGTCCTTCGGATTGCATTTACCACAGGGTTTAGGGTTTAGGGTTTAGGGTTTAGGGTTTAGGGTTTAGGGTTAGGGTTTAGGGTTTAGGGTTTAGGGCAAGTGAAGCACTAGCCCCCGGTAGAGGTTGTGTTGCATGTTCGTTGCTAGAACACCCCAGGCAACCTAAACACGAACAGCTGTTGCTGTTTAATAGTTTTTGGGGAGGATCGTTTCGGGCTTTCGGGATTGAGGGTGCTTCGGGGGGTTGGGGCAGGGTCGTAGCGGCTGGAGGTTTAGAGCTTCAACTAGTGGTTTAGGGCTTAGGTATATGTCTTTTTGTTGGGGGGAGGGGGGGAGGAAGGGGTTGGGGCCTTAAACCTGAAAAACCTGAGAAAACCCTAAACCCGAATAGGCTCCCTAGTCTCACCGAACCCAGAAAGGGTTTAGGGTTTAGGGTTTAGGGACCCTAACTTAGGGAAAACTGAATCGTTGGGGAAGATCGGTGTCCAGGATCCCATCACTCTGGCGCAGTTCCAGGACTGCCGGGGGAAGTTTAGGGTTTAGGGTTTAGGGTTTAGGGTTTAGGGTTTAGGGTTTAGGGTTCTCAGATACAGAGTCATGTCGGTTGCGATTATTGTGGCCTTGATGAGGGTATGACCCCTAAACCCTATACCCTATGACCCAATAACCCCTATACCCTATGCCCTATGCCCTATACCCTATACCTCAGAAACCCTAAACCCTCAACCTTACTTACCCCTTCACAGGAACAGCTCTGGGATTTGAAGCCCGACCTCGCCCTGACCTTACGGTTTCGTGTGCGGAGCTGGCGCCAAAGGGAAGGGCTCGTCGGCAGGCCCCGCCACCGGTTCAGTAGGACTTCGAGACGGGTGGTTGTCAAAATCATGATCCCTTTTGGGGTACCTTGAATATTAGGTGCCGTATGCTAATCGGGATCCAAAAAGCGACCAGAATTTTTGACAACCACCCAGATATTTATCGTGAGAAGGCCCTTGTTTCCTTTTTTTCCGGGTCTGGGTTCCCTCATAAGCCTCAATCCTGGGTGACTCTTGAGTCTAGTCGTTCTCCGCAAATGGGACAACGAAGAACTCTGTCCGAAATTTGCTCAGGGGTCAGGGGCCCAGCTAGTTATGGCGAGTCAGGGGAGTAGTTCTTTTCAGGGGAGTAGTTCAGCTTAAACCTGAAGCGTAAACGCTAAACCCTAAATCCTAAACCCTAAACCCTAAACCCTAAACCCTAAACCGAGTGTACGGTACTCACTGAACTTCGGCTTAGTTCCGGGTTGCCGGGCGAGGGGGCTCTGTAACCCTAAATCCTAAACCCTAACCCCTAAACTCTGGGTCCAATATTACGGAGTTCAGATGTAGTTAGCTAGGTAGGTGTATGTGTCTCACTTCTGTGAGGCTCAGGAGGTTTATGATTCCCAACCCCCGATTCCAACTTGAGGTCGTGGAAATTGGTACCGAGTGTGGTGGACTGGCGAGGCGCGGTGGAGCGTTGTGCAGGAGTCTCGTTTCCAAGTTTTAAGTTTAGGAGTTAGGGTTTAGGGTCTCGCTTAGGGGAAGGGGGTGTTCGCGGATGGTAGTCGTATGAGGCTCGTTGGCTTCGGGGCCCGTGCGCCGAAGGCTAAGGCACAGGGCCTCCAGCCCACATGAGCTCTGAACCAGCGAATGTTGACGGGGTGACTACGTATTGCCAGTGACTCACAGAAAGTTGTTTAAGGGCTTGAAGCTCAGCGATTCCAGGGATCATGGGATTCAAATTGAGAAGACAGCAAGTAGAGATTCGTGGGCAGCTGTCAACGGTATGCCTCCACCTGTTTTGAGGACCAGGTCGTCCGCCTCTTAAAGCAGCCCACCCACCTTCATGCCCCAAACGCCTCCCCGACGCATCACATGTTTGGGGTTCAGGGTTTAGGGTCATGCGAGGGGCGTGCAGCACTTTAGAGTCGTACGGGATGCCCCGCTCCCAGCGCAGCCCCAGCCCTGAAACCCTTGAAGCCCTTCCTGGAACCCTTCGAGCCCTAAGCACGAACCCTAAACCCTGAACCCTAAACCCTAAACCCTAAACCCCAAACCCCTAAATCCAATAACCTAGATCCTAAACTCGAAACTACCCCAAAAGCCTGAATCCTAAACCCCAATCCTTGAACCCCAACGCCCAAAGCCAAGACACATCCAACACGTCCGCCTGCAGTATCATGGCGCAGCTCCAGGAGCTCAGTGGTGAGCTCCCCAGGTCCCAGGTTAACCAGGCCGTCCTTACATTTTAGGGATTTAGGGTTTAGGGTTTAGGGTTTAGGGTTTAGGGTTTAGGGTTTAGGGGTGCCAGTGCTGCCATCGATATGAGGGTTTCCGAAATTAGGGGTACCTTATTAGGGTCCTCATGATTTAAGGGAATCCTACTATTTGGGGGTCTATTGTGGGGGGCCAGGTGAGGGGAAGTCTCTCAACTTAGGAGTTCACGGTTTGGCGCGGGTTTAGGGTTCAGGGTTTGGGGCTTAGGGTTCCAGACCCTAGACCCTAAACCCTAAACCTTAAACCCTAAACCCCAATTTTGGAAACCCGCCCAGGGGTTTGGAGGCTGGGGTTCTGGTCATGGGGGCGTGAGGCGCTTCTCCTTAGGGGTTTAGGGCTTTAGGGTTTAGGGTTAGGGTTTTAGGGCTTGGGGTTTAGGGTTTAGGGCTTAGGATTTAGGGTTTAGGGTTTTAGGGATTGGGGTTTAGGGCTTCAGGGTTCTAGGGATTGGAGTTTAGGGTTTCGGGTTTGGGGTTTAGGTGCTTGGGGTTTAGCTGCGCAAGCTTCGAGTGTCGTGGTGTTGAAAAAGGCATCCAGGCTTCAGGGACATGTCGGACCTGGATAGGGTTGAGGGTTAAATGTTGAGGGTTTCGGAGCCTGTATTCCATGGGGATTTAGGGGTTCGGGGTTTAGCGTTTATGGTTTTGACGGGCTTGGGGTTTGGGTTTTTTTTTTTGGTTTTGACTAGTGTTTAGGTTACAGCGACATGTTTCAAAGCACTAATGGAGGGACCCTATTAAGTCACCTTAGGGATTCTTGAGGGCATGCTTAGGGGCTACTCAAGTATGCAGAGTAGGTCGGTGCTATATAGGGGGTTACTTAGGGGAAGAAGATTATGGGTCCCTTCTAGGGGGTCCCTCCTGAAACCCCTTGAATGTCTCCTCTCAGATTCAGCTTTGGTTTACCCAGGCATCGCCGGGCACGTCCTGACTGTGGACATCTCGCCCCAGGGATATGCGCCGTGGGTACGCTCCGAAGAAGATCTACTACTTGCTTAAGAACCCCCAAAAATTAAGGATCACAATGCCTATATTGCCCTTACAGGGATATGTATATATATATATATATATATATTTATTTATTTATTCATTTATGTTTATTTATTTTTTTTTTGGGGGGGGGTCTTAAGCAAGTAGTAGAGATGGGCCGGGGGTTTTCGGGTTAGGACTTGATCTACACTGGGCTCTCTTTAGGTGTGCCCCCCCCCCCCCCCCACCCCCCCCCCCCCCACCCCCCCCCCCCCCACCCCCCCCCCCCCCACCCCCCCCCCCACCCCCCCCCCCCACCCCCCCCCCCCCACCACCCCCCCCCCCCCCCACCCCCCCCCCCCCCCACCCCCCCCCCCCCCCCCCCCCCCCCCCACCCCCCCCCCACCCCCCCCCCCCCACCCACCCCCCCCCCCCCCACCCCCCCCCCCCCCCCCCCCAACATGAACTTAGGGGCTTAGAGGTGTGGGTGCTGGGCGCTTTGGCACCTGGATCCCGGGCTGTATCGGCCGGCATCTTGGGGTTTAGGGTTTAGGGTTTAGGGTTTCGGGTTTAGGGTTTAGGGTGACATTTTTCTGCTTCGCACACGGAGCTCTTTTGAGAGGGCGGCCGTCATTTGAACGTAGAGGAACTCTTTTGAGACTCGTTGAAATACTCCGTGGAAGGCCCCCCCCCCAAAAAACCACCCTCAGCCCTAATTAAACCCTAAACCATAAGCCCCTGTAAGCCCTGTAGACCCTATAAACCCTACAAACCCTGTAACCCTATGAGCCCTGTAAGCCCTAAAGCCTACAGCTTTTTTTCAGTTCACCCCCTTCCTCACCTCGAGGCTCACAGCGATTGTGAGCAGCGTCGCGAGGACTCAAGTCTGCCCGGGCCCCTAGAGAGGGCTTTAGATTGGAGGTCTTGGGGTTCAGGGTTTAGGGTTTAGGGTTAAGGGATTCAGGTTTTAGAGCCCGAACCCCAAACCTTTGCTAGTTTAGGGTTCAGGTTATTTAGGCTCTACTTCTCTAAGGCCTTGGAACCCACCCATGACACCAGGTGGGACCGCCACCGTGCCAGCGGCCTAGCTGACACCGGCAGCGTCCCAGGCAAGTCACCGAATGGTCTTCGGGGCTATGTCACGCCTGGGGTTTAGGATTTCATGTCCAGGGTATGGTTCCACATGGCCCTGGACCCGACTTGAGCAAATTGCCCAAGTCTGAAAGCATGGATGCGAAGTCTTCTGAAACTGCCAGTTGACGAAAGCACGAACCATTGCTGTCTTCCTTCTAAACCCTGCAAGCCTCAAGCTCACACCCAACCCTGCCATAGCCTTCTCCGCTCGCAATCGTGAAGCTGCCAATCCTCCAGGGACTTTAAAGGAGGGACTCTTATGAGGGACCTTAGGGTAATTTAGGGGCTGCTTCGGTATATTATGGGGACTTTATAAGTTGTGTAGAGGGGTTATACAGGGGTTCCATAGGAGAATAAGATGAAGAGTCTGTTCTAGGGCCCCCCCGTATAGCCCTTACTCATCCCAAGGCCAGCCGCAGGATAGCGCCCATCTTGCGAGAAGCGCGAAGGTGGGGCTGTCCTTGCAGGACACGGGGGGGTTCCCTAGTGCTTGGCTCCTTCCTGGAATCCCACACTCATGGAGCCCGAAACCCCCTAGCCCTGTAGTCGGACCGACGCAGGGTCTGCCGCTACAAGTTCCGGGTGAGGACTTTTTGGTCGTTCTGGGTCCTTGCGAGGCCTGAAAGTCCGAACCGAGGACATGACGCCCTAGTTCAGCCTCTCCCGCCCGAACAGAGCCCCCAGGAGCCATATATGGATCACTATATAAACCCTAAAGCCTACAAAACCCCAGGCCCGAAATCCTAGACCCTAAACCCTTGGAGCCTACTTCAGTAGGCCGCACGGCTCAAGATCCAGGATCTCCCCATCGGAGGCGGTGGGCGCTGATTGCGTTGGGAGGACCCAGCGCTTGCTCAGATGGGATGGAGATCAGGGCGGCGTAGGTTTTGCGGGATCTAGGTGGGCCCTACACCCTAAACCCCAAACCCCAAACCCTAAACCCAAGACCGAAACCCAAAGCCCTATGCCCCGAGCCCTGCCACTGCACATGCAGTGGCTGTACTTTTTTTGGTGCCGTACCCAAATCCTCACCGGCGGAAACTTGCAGCCCTTTACGTAGTTGGCTAGAATAGGGTTTAGGGTTTGGGGATTAGGTTCAGGGTTCAGGGTTTGGGGTTTAGGGTTTAGGGTTTTTGGTATTGAGTTTGGGTTAAGGATTTGGGGGGTTTCCTTGTCACAGAGTTGTTGCTGGTCAAGGTCTGTGCCCAGGACGACGCAGAGCTGGTTCGCATCGTGGCTGGGAGCTTATTCCACAGGCAGGGTTTAGGGTTTAGGGTTTCGGGTTTAGGGTTTAGGGTTTAGGGTTTAAGGTTTAGGGTTTAGGGTTTAGGGTTTAGGGTTTAGGGCTCCGCACAAATGAAATCCAAAATCTTGATCCCTCAACCATGTGCACACACGAGCCCAAACCCTAAACCCTAAGCCCTATATATAAACCCTATAAACCCTAAACCTCCTTGAGGGGATGAGTTTCAGGCCGACTTTGCAGCACGCGCGCAACGAGCCGATAGCTCGGAATGCCATCTGCCTTCATGCGCCTGTTTCTGTTCATAGGTTTTAGGTTTAAGGTTTAGGGTTTAGGGTTTTGCTATTGACGTAGGCATTGGTACCTTGCTGAGCACCTATAGTGCTACCAGTGCTACTAGCTGGTAGAATCTTCTGGCCGCATGTCTTCCTGCTGTTGCTACAACTATGGCTGCGCATTGTGTATCGGCATGGGTGACAATGTTGTGCGGTTTGCACCTGTTCCTAAGCCAGTGCAGTGATCATTTTGAATGCCGCCCGGACCCGTTTCATTAGCCCGGACCTGCAGGCCTTAACCCTAACCCTCAGGCCGAAGCCCTCAACCCTAAACCCTAAATCCTCGAGAAAGGGCATCGTTACTGGAATGTGGCCACCAAGTTCTGCGTGTGCTCGGGGGTTGGGAGGCCGTAAAACCCAGAACCCAAATGGGGGTTTACCAACACAGGGGGGACTTTAATGGAGTCCCCCAAATAGTAGAGTTCCCTTGTAGCAAGGACCCCAATAAGGTACCCTAATGCCGGAAGCCCCCAAATTCAGAGTCCCTGAACTCGAAGCAGGTCTTCATCCTCGACGATGCCAGCCACTTCAAGGTGTCTCCGCGGCCTGAAGAGGGCGGGGGATTTGCCCTAGTATGGTTATAAGTACAGGTCTAAGTACAGTGATATTTGGTGAATAAGTACCATGAACCTCCAAGTAGGGTTGAGGGTTTAGGGTTTCGAGCTTAGGGGGTTCATCGGGCTCAGGGAAACCCTAAACCGCAAAGCCTTCAAGCCCAAACCCCAATTCCCCAAAACCCCGAACCCCCGGGCCCCAATACCCAAATCCCCGAATCCCGAAATCCCCATAAACCCTAAACCCCAAACCCTAAACCCCAAACCCTAAACCCTAAACCCTAAACCCCAAACCCCAAACCCTAAACCCTAGACCCCAAGCCCTACGCATCCGTCTCCAGGAGGACGTGATCCGGAACTTCGAGATGCTTGCTGCCTTTGTCACACCTGGGAGGCTGGGCCTAGGGCTGTGCCTACTTGGGTGTAGCTCCCACAGCCCTAGACCCTAAACCCTAAACCCTAATCCCTAATCCCTAAACCCTAAACCCTAAACCCTAAACCCTAAACTCTTCTGTGTTTAGGGGCTTGAGGGTGTTTAGGGGTTTAGGGTTTCGGGGCTTTGGGGGCTTTGGGTTGTTTGGCAGTCTTGGGTGGAGGAACTAACGCGGCTTCAATGCAACCAACCCCCCCCCCCCCCCCGAAGCTCCTAAACCGAGGGGGGCTTAGGGTTTAGGATTTAGGGTTTCGGCATTTAGGTCTCCTAAACCGTCCTCCTCCGACTCCAAAACCTCCTGTAAACTCTAGACAGCTCCTAAAGCCCAACCCCCCCCCCCCAAACCCTAAACCCTAAACCCTAAACCCCAAGAGCCGCAGCTTCTACGTGGTGTCCGACACGCGCCTCGAACGCCTCTGCGAAACTGTGCCCGGGGACCTGGGGGTCTCACAGGGTTTGAAGGGCATTTTGAAGGACCGCCATGGGTTATGAATTTGAGGTGTTTTAGGAATTTGGGTTTTAGAGCTTGAGGGTTTTTAGGTTTCGGATTTTAGGGCCTTAGCGTTTTTTAGATGAAGGGTGTTGGGGTCTAGGGTGCCACGAATCTTTCCTGCGAAAGGGTACCTTCCAGGATCTAAGACGAACAACGAATAGTTAAAAGGGAAACTCCCTGTGAGGCATGTTTGGGGCCCTTAGGAGGTGCTTTGGGCGCTTCTGGTTTAGGCAGCATCTTGTTCTCTAGGATGAGGCGGGTTTAGGGGTTCGTGCCCCGCCAAGGAAGCGTCTCGGCTACCCGCTGGCAAACGGGTTTAACCCTGGAGAGAAGGCGCCACAGCAATTGGTGCGCACTGGAGTTCGTGTACAGCAACTCGTCACAGTTCTTATGAAGTTGCTGACTCTCGAACAGAGGTGTTATTGTATGTTGTGGCGTGTGGTAGTGGCTGTGGAAGAGGTGGTTGCAGTGGTTCTGAGGGTGATTGCGATGACGGTGCATGGATGGCGGCGGTGTTTGTGATCGTCGTTTAATGGTGATCACGGGTTGTAGTGGCGGGGATCGGATGGGGATTGTGATGTGATGGTCTTCCTGATGGCCATGACCTAGCATGATGAGAACCCGGGTGCGGGTGCTGTCGAAGATGCGATCCTGCGTCGAGTTGTGTCGAAGTTGCAGGTCCAGTGCGACTACTACATCGTGTTGCCGGCCAAGTTGTTAAGATCGTTTATGAAGCCACGCACTGCCTCCGGCTGACCACCTGCATACCTCTCTGAGACCAAATCCAGGAGAACCCTAAACCCTAGAATTCCAACCCTGAACCCCCAAAGCCACCCTATATAAACCCTAAACCCAGAAGTTGCAGCCAGGACAACGGGCCGTTTTCCGCGGTGGCTGAGCTTTTCTCGAGCAGCGAGCTCGCACGCAAGAGGCTGCGCTGTGTGCGAGGGTTGGTCTTGGATTTTGGGCTTCGGGCTTAGAGTTGCAGGTCTCATGCACAAACGAACTCATTGAACACCCACACTTGACCTTCTTAATTTTTCTGGCTCTTGGCGGAGTAGGGAACCCCAAATGCCTTACTCCGAACCCATGAGTGCTGCCCCAAACCCTGAGCCCTACACCCTTAACCCAGCACTCGCATCATGAAGACTCTGTCCGCGTTTCTAGTATGACCCCCGGATGCCTCGTGTGTTTAGGGTTTAGGGTTTAGGGTTTAGGGTGTAGGGTGTAGGGTGTAGGGTTTAGGGTTTAGGGTTTAGGGTTTAGGGTTTAGGGTTTAGGGTATACACCAGACAGGATGCGGAGTGGTATGAGTATAGCGTTTAGGGCTTGGGGGCACATTGGGGTTTAGGCTGTAGGAGGGGAGTAGGGTAAGGTCCTAGGATGTCTTGCAGCTGCCACACGTGCAGCTTGAAGCAGCTTGACACTGACAATCATCGTTCGGGTCCCCGTGGAGGGCATCCTACTAGAAACGTATCTTGCAGGCCCCTAAACTGACAAAACCCATCATCAACTGTAAATTGCATCCCAAAACCCTGAAACACGAAACCCTAAACTTTCCTGAGTAGCTGAGTCGGTAGCCTCGGTAGCCTTAAACCTTGTGGGGTATACATACTCCTACCATAATTCCAAGGCTAACCATTTTTTGGCCCAGGGTAGCCAGCAACTAGGAAACCCTCTGAAGCAGGTTCTTCATCGACCGCAAGGCTGAGGGCATGATTCTGGGGGCCACGCCCAGCGGTTGGCTTCGCGCGATCGCCGAGCCGAAAATCGCAGGAGTTGGGTTTAGGGGCTTGCCTTGGTATCCCCGTGGTGCCCTTTTCCCATTTCTTATGGTTCAAGTAACCAACCCAAAAAGGGTGCCCTTATCATACTATGGTTTCTGGCTACCAAGCTGCAAGGGCTTAGGGTTCAGGGCTTGCAGGGTTAAGGGCTTCTGGTTCAGGATGAAGAGCCCCACTTTAGGGCTTCTGGGTGTTCATGACTTCAGGGTTTA